TTTTTCTGCATCTATTCATATGATCAAATGATCTTTTTTACTTTTAATATTGATGTAATCAGTTACGTTAATAGTTTTCCTTATGTTAATCCATCCCTGCGTTTCTGGTATAAATCCCACTTGATCATAATGTATAATCTTTGTAACATATTGTTGCAATCTTTTAGCTAGCATTTTATTTAGGATTTTTGCCTCCATATTTATTAATGAAATTGGCCTGTAATTTTCTTTTTATGTTTTTACTCTTCCTGGTTTAGATATAAATGTCGTATTTGTTCCTTAAAAGGAGTTTAGTATGATCCCTTCTTTGTCTACTATTCAACATAATTTATTTAATTAATGATTTATTTAATTTATTTCTATTACATTAAATTAAAAGGTTTTTGTACAAATAAAATAAATATAGCTAAGATTAGAAAGAAAGCAGAAAATTGGGAGAAAATTATAGACAATCAGATAAAGATCTCATATCAAAAATATATAAAGAACTTTGTCTTTCCCCAACTGATAAATGGTCAAAGGCTATGAAAAGGTAGTTTTCCAATGAAGTAATCAAAACAATTTATAGTCATATAAAAATGCTCTAAATAATTTTTGATTAGAGAAATGCAAATTAAAACAACCTTGAGATATTATTTCATACCTACCAGATTGGCTAAAATGATTCAATGGGATAGAAATGAATGTTGGAGAGGATGTGGAAAAATTGGGACACTAATTAATTGTTGGTGGCATTGTGAACTGATCCAACCATTTTGGAGAACAATCTGGAATTATGCCCAAAGAGTTATTAAACTACCTATATCCTTTGATCCAGCAATACCTCCTACAAGGTCTGTTTCCAAAAGTGATTACTGGAAAAAAGAAAAGAACCTATGTATTCTAAAATGTTTATATAGGCTCTCTTTGTGGTGCAAAGAGCTGGAAATTGTGGAGGTACTCATCAATTGGGGGATGGCTGAGTAAGTTGTGGTATATGGTTGTGATGGAATACTACTTGCTATAAGAAATGATGAGTCCAATGATATTAGAAAAAACATGAAAAGACTTGCATGAAATAATGAGTAGTGAAGGGAGCAGAACCAAGAGCACATTATATACAATAACAGAGATATTAAGAATGACTTTGAATGACTAAGTTATTTTTACTATTATAAATGTGCAAATTAGCCATAAAGGACAAATGAAGAAAGGCTTTATATGCATACATATGTAAGGATATATAAGATAATTTTACACATGTGTGTATATGTATGTGTCTATATGTGTATCTAATGGTAGCCATCTCTAGGGAGAGGTGGATGGAGGGTAGGAAAAAGGTAGAAAAAGAAATTTACATGATAAATTTGTTGTATATTTGAAATAAATAGCAAATTGTGCCTAGTACATTTGCAACTTCCTGTACAATCATATTTTTACTATGCTATGATATGGAAATACTTATTTTATTCCATAAATATGCACTAATGTAATAAAAAATAAAAGGGAAAAAATAAATAAAGCTAAAAGTTGGCTTTTTGGAAATATGTGTGTGTGTATATGTCATTAGGTAATGTTGTTAAAAAAGAAGAAAGAGGGAAAAAAAAAGAAGAAAGAGGAAAACCAAATGACCAGAATAAAAAAAAATGATAAAGAGGAATTCATAAGAAAGAAGGATATTATTAAAAACCACTTTCTATAACTATATCCCAATAAAAATAAATAAATAAATAAATAAATACTTTTAAAATTTCAAGATAACTAGATTGAAAGAACAAGAAATAATTTAGCCCACTCTCATAGAAAGAAAATAAACAACCTATAAATGAACTCCTCCAAAAAAGGACTACATGTTCACAGGTAATTTCTATTAAACCTTCTAATAATAATTCAAATATTTTACAGTTTGCAAAGCAAAAGGCAAAAGAAGAGATACTACCAAATTCTATCTATGTCACAAATATGGTTTTGATACCTAAATGAGGGAGAAGCAAAACAGATAAAGAAAACCATAGATTAATATCTCTAATAAACATTGATGGAAAATTTTTTAAATAAAATACCAGAAAAGAGGTTATAGCAGCATATCACTAAGATTATCCACCATAACCAGGTTGGATTTGTATCAGGAATGTAAAGTTGGACTAAAAGTAGGAAAACTACAATTAATTAATTGTATCAATAACAAAAACATGATTATATTACTAAATGCAGAAAAAGTATGACAAAATATGATATCAATTTCTGTTAATACTTAAAGACAAAGGAACAAATATGATATAGTTATATCTAAGGCCAAGAACAAGTATTATATAATACAGGTCAAGTAAAACTCTTTTTATAAGAAGATCAGGGTGAAACAAGAATGTCCTTAGCTACCACTTCTATTTGACATAGTGCTATAAATGCTAGCCATAACAATGACAAGAAAAAGAAATTGAGGAAATGAGTACAAAGAAGAAACAAAATTATTGGGCTTTTTTTAAAAGATAGTGTGATGATGTACTTAGAGAACCCTAGAGAATTAACTAAACTTAATTGAAACAATCAACATCTTCAGCAAAGTTGTAAGACGTAAGATAAATCCATGCAAATATGTAATGCAAATAAAACTGTAAGATGAGATAGAAGAAGAAATTACATTTATAATAACTATAACATGTATAAAATACTAGGAACTTGACCTATCAAGATACACCTAAAAACAATTCAAATACTACTACAAAACACTATTTATAGGAATAAAGATAAGTCTAAATAATTGAAGAAATACTAATTGTTCGTGAGTAGGCAGAGCCAATAATAATAAAGAAATGCAACACTGTTTAAATTAATGTACTTATTTACCAGCAATACCAATCAAACTTCCATAGAATTGCTTTATATAGCTAGAAAATAATAACTAAATTAATCTCGAGGAACAAAAGGTCAAGAATCTAAAGACAAATAATAACAAAAGGTGGGAAAGAAAGAGGCCTACCAGATCCCAAACTATACTACAAAGCAATACTTCTCAAAAATAATTTGCTGCTGGTTAAAAAGCAAAGAGATTAAGGGGCAGCTAGTTGGCACAGTAGAAAGTGCTCTGGCCTTGGAGTCAGGAGAACCTGAGTTCAAATCTGGCCTCAGACACTTGACATTTACTAGCTGTGTGACCCTGGGCAAGTCATTTAATGCCAATTTCCTCACCAAAAAAGAAAAAAAAAGTAAAGAGCTTGCTCAATGGAACAGATTAAGTACATAACAGAGAAGTAAACAAACCAAGTAGCCTAATCTTTGAAAAATACAAAGACCCCAGCTTCTGGACTGCAGTATGGCAGAAGGTAGGCTTACACTAACACCTCATACATTGTACTAAAATAAACTCCTAAAGGATACATGCCGTAGACACAAAAAGGTACAACAAAAACAAATGAGAGAAACAAAGAAGAAACTGCTTTTCAGTATTATGAAAAGGGAAAGGAACAGAGGAGGAAAGCAAGCACCTACTATGTGCTAGGAACTGTGCTAACTGCTCCATAAATATTATCTCATTTGAATCTCACAACTTTCTGATGTAGGTGCTATTTTTATCCTGATTTTTTAAATGAGGGTTTGAGGCAAAGAGTGGTTAAGTGACTTGAGAATTAAGTGTCTGAAGTCAGATTGGAACACAGCTCTTCCTCACCAATTGGTCTAGTTCTCTATCCACTGCTCTTGCTGATTGCCTCCAATAGGTGAAGAATTTATGAGCACATGAAGGACAAAGAGGATCATGCATGATAAAATAGATGATTTTTTTATAATATAAAATTTACAAGTTTTTTCCCATAAAAACACATCCAATATCAATAAGATTTGAAGGGAAACAATTAACTGGAGAAGAAACATTGTAAAAAGTTTTTCTGGTAAAGGGCTTGTTTCTAAGATATATAAAGAATTTATTTAAATTTATGAAAATAAGACCCATTCTCCAATTGATAAATAGTATAGAACATGCACAGGCAGATCTCAAGGGAACAAATCTAATCTATTTATAATCATATGAAAAAGTGCTCCAAATTACTAACAATTAGAAAAGTGAAAATTATTCTGAGCTTCCACTTAACACCCATCAGATTGGCAAAGCTGACCAAAAAAAAAAAGGAAAAAAAAGAAAATGACAAATGTTAGAAGGGCTATGGGAAAACAGGCACAATGATTCACTGCTATTGAAGCTATGAATTGGTCCAACTTTTTGATAAGCAATGCACAAAAATATACTAAACAGTATATGCCTTTTGACCTATCTACACTGCTGCTAAATGTATACCTGAAAAGAGATCAAAGAAAGAAAAGTTCTATGTGTACAAAAATATGTATAGCAACTTTTTTTTTTGCAGTAGCAAAAAAAAAAAAATGGAAACAGAGTGTCAATCAATTGGGAAATGGCTGAACAAGTTATGACACATGAATAAAGTGGAATACTATTGTGCTATAAGAAATGAGGGAAAAGACAATTTCAAGGAGACATGGAAATTCTTATATGAAGTGATACGGAATAAAGTGAGCATAACTGTAAGATAATTTTATACTACGACATGAATATCATAAAAATGAAAATTTCAAAATACTTAAGAATTCTTATCAACTAAATAACCAACCATGATTCCAAAGTACTGAGAAAGAAAGAATAGTGCCCGCCTTATGATGACAGACTAATGGAGATGCTAGACTAATACGTAGAATATATTTTTGGATGTGACAAATGCGGCCTTTCTTTTTTTGCTTCTTTTTTCCTTCCTTCTTTCTTTCTTCCATTTCATATTTAAGGAGACCTCATTTAGAGTGTAAACTTGTCATCTAGACTAAGTAACTAGTTTCTTGCCATCTGGCAAGTCAAAACCATCTGGCTTTGCATCACCTTTTGCTGAGGTGATTTTTTGGTAGGGTGGGAAAATAATGAAGGAGGACCCACAAAATATGGCTTAGAGCTGAGATAAGAGAGAGTCCACATCATGCCCACACTTGTTACAGAAAAACCTTTCAATGACCATACTTACGTTCTTGTATCATGGTGGCCTCTTTTTCAGTCTCTTCCAGTCTTCCTTGAAGCCTTGTGTGATGTATATGGTGTTGGGGTATGACCTGAGGATTTTTCTTTTTGTCCTCTTCCTGAGTTTCACAAGTCTCTTCAGTTTTTGTTTCTGCCAATGAAAAACACATAACACATTTGGCAATTTGGGGGAATGAAAGCTATATATATCTTAGCATAGAGCATGCTATTTCAGAATGATACTTTGTCCCTTTGTATATAGGTTGCCCAGAAAAGGGGTATGACCTAAATTCTAAAGGACAGACTGGGCATAGACTCAAAGCATTACTGTATTAGTTTGCTCATCTAGAGCAAAGGGCCATTCATCCCCATATCTTTGTTTTATAGAAGAAGAAACTGAAACAAAGAAATTAAGCCATCTTCCCACGTTCCCATGGCAAGTAACTGGCAGATTCAAAACAAGCACTTACCCATGCAGGGAAAGAAAGCAGAAACTGTTGCCAGAGGCTGAACAAGGCCACCAGATGTTGTCTTACCTTGTGACTGCTGGTAGGACCACATAAAAGCAGGGAGATCCTAAACTATTGTTAGTTTTAGTGTTAAGACTGGTCAGTTATACTATGATTTATTGTATAGTCAATTAGTCATCTCTGACTCTTCATGACCCCATGTGAGGTTTTCTTGGCAAAGATACTGGAGTGGTTTACCATTTCCTTCTCTAGCACATTTTATAAATGAAGAAACTGAGCCACACAGGCTTAAATGACTTGCCCAGGGTCACACAGCTGGCAAGTGTCTGAGGCCAGATTTGAACTCAGGTCTTCCTGGCTGCAGGCTGGACACTATCCACTGTGCCACCTAGCTGCCCTTCATACTATGGTAGTTGAGCTACGTGTTCTAAAAGGAGAGTAAACAAGATAGTTGAGTAAGGCCTTTTTTGTTACTGAGCAGTCCAGAGGGAAGTCCAGTGATCTAGCTAACTTATTTGTGTTTCATTATGCTATTTTTGTCACTAGGGAAAGGCTTGTACAACAGACTATGCCAGAAGCTGCTTGTGGTCTTAGGCATGTCATGGACCATATATTGAAAGGTCAACACGAGCTGCATTCTTGACCACATCTTTTGAGTACTTTCCTAGCCTCACAGGCAAGTCTGTGTCAGAGGACATGGGACCCTGGTAATCAGTGGTCATGGAGTATACGCCCAAAGAACACACATGGCTGGTCTTATCCTTTTACTTCACTCAGGTCACAAACTAAGCAAGATTAAATGATCTGGGATAATAAACGTGCTCAGAGTGACTGAATGAACCTGTAGAAAGCCTACAAAGAAGGATGAGATAATCACATGTAAAGGTGGGTAAAAAATTATATATCATTTCATCTAAGGCCATGTAAGATACACACACACACACATACACATATATATGAAAACAGCTGTGTGAGAAATGTGCTATAATTTCCCACCATTTTCAGATGATAAATTTGAGTCTGAGAACAATTAAGTGATATTTGTGCAAGATGTCTGAGGCAAGATTCAAACACAAGTATTACTGACCCCAAGACCAGTGCTTTATCCATTTCACAACATAGCCTGTACCATGATTGTATCATATATGTCTCTTTAATTAATTAATAAATATTAATATTGTCTTGACAACCAGACTGAGTTCCTTGAATGCAGGAACAGTTTCATCATATTGTATTACATATAGCACCCAGTACTGCTCAGAAACAAAATGGTCACCAAACAAATATTTATTGGCCGATGGATTGGCATTGGATGGATGGAACATGGTATAAGAAGCCATGTGGCTTATCCAACAGCAGGCCTGATAAGGCAGCAGAACAGTCATGTTGAGGAGTAGGGGGATGATGAAAATAGGGATAGGAGGCACAACAAAGAACCCCAGAATTTAATCCTGGACATGAGGAAAGTTCTCAGGTAACCACTTGACTTGATCCCAGAGATGACTCAGATTTCGGGTAAATCAGGAATAAGGACTAGGGAAAGAGGAAGTCTGAGAATGAAAGAACAGATTGATGAGACGTATTAGTGGACTGGTCAATTCTGTTTTCTTTAAGACCACACTAGACTTTTATAGAAACAAATGCCATTTCTATACTAGCACCTTGACACTTATTATCTGAGAAAATGCCAGAGTGCTTTGTGTGTTCATGCTACTGGATTTTTGGAAAATAAAATGAAAATCGGTTGGGTCTCTGTATTTTCTAGTGATTATTTCGAATAATCTACTTTGCTGTGCTAGGGAAGAAACAGCCTGAGAGAAACCCCTGTGATCACATATATAAGGGCTACCATTAGAAGAGCTCTAAATGTGCTCATGTTTCAGAGCATGAAGTAAACACATTCTCCACACATAGCCTTCAGCTCCATCCCTGTTGCCACTGAAGACTTGCTCATATTATAGTGGAAACTGTGTTAGCAAGAAGCGAACATCGTTCTCATTAAACAGGAGGCTGACACAGTTTCCCTAGCATAGGTAGCAAGACAGCTGTTTTCAGTGATGATGGAGCTGTTAAAGTCAGCTTGAAAATCAGCAAGGGACTGACAGTTTTCCTTTTCCTCATGCTAAAGGCCACATGATCCAGCTATACCCATAAACAATAGACAAGGCCCCCTAGCCTTTAGCCTTTCTATCAGAATGTCTTAGAGGGAAGGTTAAAGATGACATGAAAATATACATGCTGGTCCACCTGCCTAAAATAGTAAAACATACATAGTGTTCTGCCCCTCCATCCTATTGACTTTTTAATATAAATATATATTTTTTTATGAAACCAATATCTGTGGGAGTACCTGCTGTTACTATTGGTAGATGCTGGCATTCTCTGAGTGATGTGGGGAGAAAACAGAATTGGTGATGTACAGTAAATTTGGAGAGAGGCATAGGTAAATATAGGTGAGGCTGAAGAGAATGTTGGTGAGTCTAATGATTTCTGAAAATGATTGTCAAAGTTATATTTAATGGCCTTTAAACGTAGATAAGAGTGTCTCAGTAGGGCTCAGTAGTGAAAAGCTACTAACTTGGAGCCATATTTTCCCTACTCTTCCACAGCTTAATCCTGAATTTGAAAATAATTTAGTATATGGCCCGAGGAAAGTCACGGGAGTTTGGCCAAATGCATAGGGCACCAGACTTGGACCCAGAAAAAAAAAACCTGAGTTCCATTATCTGTAAAATGGGGATAATAATAGTACCTTGGGAAGTAGGATATGATAGGGGATAAAGAGTTGGATTCCAGGAATAATACCTGGGTTCAAGTTCTTTCTCTAACATATAGTGGTTATATGACCCTGGGTAAGTCATTTATCTTCTCGATGTCCAAGACCACACTCCAATTATTATAAATACAGTGCATAGGTAGAGGAGTCTTCCATAATGGGAGTTCCCTATACTGATGAAATAACAGCTCTTGTCCAAAGAGAGTGGGTGGAGATAACACTACTAATCTGGGCTTGTCATGAAGAATCAGACTTTTTCAATATGGTGGTTAATTTTGATAACTTTTTTAATTTCATTTAGCTTTCATCACGAGGAAAAGAAGGGGACAGAAGGAAAGCTATATCGGGAAATATGGGTAATATGAAAATAAGATATCGAATATTTTAAGGAAATTAGGAGATTGAGATAATGACATTTTTTCTCTAGGCTTTTAGTGACACTAGTGGTGAGCTTACATGCCCCTCATTTTGCATAGTTACAAAAAGCAATCATTTAATTCATCTATGTAATAGTTTACCAAGCATTAAACATAAAAGAACCACAACAAGGTACAGGATCATCTCTGTCTGAATTCCATTGAATAAGATGAAAAGAAATGAAAATTATTATGATCGTCATGGTCATAGTGATAGCTTACATTTACATCTAGTTTTAAAGTGACATATATAGGATAATGTATATCATACAAATATAATTGATTTTTTTTGTAATTTTCTTTATTTAAAAACAATATCCTGAGAAGGGTCCATAGTCTTTGAGCAGACTGCTAAAGGAGTCCATGACACCAAAAAGATTAAGCGCCCTTACTATATAGATATATGGGGCCACATATATCTAATTCAGTGATCCTGGAGCTGTCATTGAGCCCATTCCTTTGTCTCCAGGCATCAAGGGATCCTATACTCTTTTTTTTTGTTTGCTTGTTTGGTTTTTTTTTGGGGGGGGAGGGCAGACAATGGGGTTAAGTGACTTGCCCAGGGTTACACGGCTAGTTAGTGTTATGTGTCTGAGGCCAGATTTGAACTCAGGTCCTCTTGACTCCAGGGCTGGTGTTCTATCCACTGCGCCACCTAGCCGCCCCCAAGGAATTCTATTCTTAAAGAACTTTTAATGTCCCTTTCAGCTGAAATATATTATATGATTCTGTGACTCTCTGAACTACTAGAAAGAAAATGTAGGCATAATGGTAGTAAAAAACCAACCACATTTTCATCATACTTTTAGATTTTCAAAGCATGCTCACATATATCCTCTCAGTTCATCTTTACGCCAACCCTGCAATTACAAAGGGGCAACAGTTTCTGATCTCAGAGAGTTTATATTCTATAGGTAGGGAACCCATAGATAGATAATTAAATAAAGGATGTGTACACAGGGTCAATTTTTGTTTAGGTTAGGAGTTCCTAAACTTTTTTGTATCATGGACCCCTTTTTTTCAATCTGATAAAATGTATGGACTCCTCAGAATAATGGATTAAATGTATGAAATAAAATACTAAGGATTACAAAGAAACCAATTATACTGAAATACAGTTTTTTTAAAATATATATAAAAAAACAAGTTAGTGAACCTCAGGTTCTCAATCAAGAAATGGAAGACTATATACTGAAGACATAAGCTCAGCAAGTTTTATGTGGCCAGTTATCCATATAGGATTATAAGAGATCTCATTGGTGAATAAAACTATCCTTACTTATCAGAAACCAAGACATTTTAATTAATGCCTGCATTCCACAGATCAAAACAGGCATTTCCTTCTTTTGGGAATGCAAACTTACTTTTGATTTTTCTTTTCTTAAACCAACAAAATACCAGAAAGCACAAAGCAACCCACGAGGCAGCAGAACACAAAATAAGAGCCATAAGGATAGTAGATTTTTCTCCCATGTTAACAGGAAACACTGCAAATGGCTCAGATCGAACTCTAAATTTGGCACCTAAAAGTAAAAAAATGATAATAAAAATAATTAATTATATTGTGCTATAAAGAAGCAATATAATCATGATGGAAGGTTATTATTTCTGAACTGCTCTCATCTCTCAAATATAGTATTCATTTATGTAGTCAGCAAACGTTAATTAAGCACCTTTTGGGTTCAGCACATTGTTCTACATGATACAGAAGACACAAAGTTAAGATATGTCATGCTCTCTACCCTTATGGAGTTTATTATCTAAAAGTGAGAAGGAATCACTCTGATTTTCCATTTCTACATTTGAACAAAGTATACTACGTATATTCTTTTCTCTAGGTCTTGACTAATTATGGGGAAAATCACCTAGTTTGAACTCCTCTGCAATTCTTCACTTGAACCACTTTTATGTATGATTAATACAACAACTCACTCCTCTATACCACTTGCACAGTTCTTGGCTCTGACACTTAAAAACAATCACTTTAAAAACAGAAAATGTTCCCAAGTAAATATTTGCTGAATGGTTGAAGCAGGGGAAAAAAAATAAAAGTAAAAATAAAGGAACCTGCACCACACAGATTAAAAACAAAACAAAAGAAATAACCCCGGGGTAGCTAGGTAGTGCAGTGGATAGAGCACCGGCCCTGAAGTCAGGGGGACCTGAGTTCAAATCTGGCCTCAGACCAGACTCTTGACACCTACGAGGTGTGGCAAGTCACTTAACCCCATTACCTAGCAAAAACAAACAAAAAAGAAAGAAAGAAATTAACCCTGTACCTATTTCTAATAGGAAAGGCAAATAATCATAGTTGTCCAACATTCAATATCCATGAGAGCATAAACCACAAGGAAAAAGATTTCATGTGTGACAAGAGCTTCTGGGGAAAATGGAAAGTAGTTGTGTCTAAAACAATTTGGAACCAATATCTTTCTTAGACTATACACTACACTAAACTCTAAAAAAAAAAAATAAGTATAATCATAAAAAAAATTAGAAGAGACTAGAACAAGGGGAATTTCCACAAATATAAGGGGGGGGAATCTGTAAGTGAATAAGCAGTAAATGAGAACATTTCCTGAGTGCAAGGCAAACCCTCAGAGATTTAAAAATTTGCATAGAAGTAAAATAAAATGTATTCTTGAGGACCTTCTCAGAAGCTGGGGACTTTGTGGTCTCCGGATGCAAAAATAGTGAGTGAAGGAAGCTCCCTTTTATATGATTCTCAAGGTGTGAATGGTAACTAGTGCAGAGGAGAGGAGTGAATAGAGGGTAGATAATTTAGTATTGATTATATGAAAATTTAAAGTTTATTTATATCTGAACAAAATCAATGTATCTAGACTATAAAGAAAAGCTGTGACATTTGGAAGATTTTTTATGTGACACTTTGAAAAATTCTGATACCCAAGATGCATTGAGAATTTATAGAAATATGCAAGAGTAAGAAAAATCTTGCGATAGTAAGCAAAGAACATAAGCAGTTTAAACAAAAGAAATGAAAAACTGTCAACAACCACACAAAAAGATTCAAATCTAAGATGAATACAAATTATGAAATTCTTATCTTTAACGTCATAGTGAACAAATTAGCAAAGATGGTAAAATATGGAAATAGTCAACGTTGGAAGGGCTGGTAGAAAGTCAAGTACGCCAATACACTGTTGGTGGAACTAAGAATTTATTCCATTTTTAAGAAGCAATTTGGAATTTTATGAAAATATTATTAATACTGGACCTAAGCAATCCCACTCCTAGGCATTTACTTCAAGGAGGTAGAAGACAGAAAAATACTCATAGGAGCACTTTTTGTCTCAGGAAAACAAATGGAAACAAGGTGTATTTCCATCAATTGAGGAACAGAAAAAAATGGATGAGTAAATTGTGATATATGAAAAGAATGGAATATTATTGTACCATAAGAAATTATGGATATGAAACACTTAGAAAAACATAGGAAGTCTTGTATGAATGGATGCAGAGCGAAGAAAGTGGAATCAAGACAACAATATACATAATGACTATAATGGTATAAAAAAGCAAAAAGACAGCATTCAAAAACAAAATTATTCAACTGAAATGTAATGATCAGTTATGGTCCTTGAGACCGATGATAACCTTCCACTTCAGCTGGGTACAGAGATCATGAACTAGGAGTGAAAACATGTCATATATCCAATCAGACATGCGTGTTATGTTGGTTTGTTTTACTTAACGTGTCTTTGTTCTGAGGGAGAGATCTATAGAGTGAGTATTGGGAAAGTATAGTAATGTAAAAACAATATAGATTGATAAATATTAAAAAGTAAGCACATGACTAGAATAAATAAAATAGATGTAGACTATGTTAAAGAAATATTGAAAAGCTGCCATCAAACAGAAATTGAGAGACCTAAATTCTATTCTTAACTCTATTAGTATGTGAACTTGGCTAAGATTATATATATATATATATATATACATATATTGCCTTTCTGGGCCTCAGTTCCCTCATCTGTAACATGAGGGAATTTTATTTGATGATGTTAATGTCCCATTTAGCTCTTTGATACTAGTTCATTCTGCTCATGTGAATGAAGGAAGAATCATCCTCCCATCTCTACATAAATTCATAGAAGGCTCTGAGAGATTGTCAGAGTCTTGTCTCAAATCAATAGACGAAAAATTCAAATTCAGCTTCCCAACATCAAAGATGACAAAGCCACAAGGATATGTAAAACTTGACTATGATCATGAGTAGTTATGGTCAGAATTCTTTTGGAAACCAAAAACAAGCAAACAAATGAAAAAGCAACTCTGTTTTTATCTGAAGAATGCAGAAAATTCAGGTAAGGCTAGGGAGTTTTGTTTCTTCTAAGTTACTCAGGAAATGCACTTATTCTGCAAGATTCTATTAGTCCTAGAACTCATACGTTGTCAGTACCCTCTGCCCTTGGGGTTCCTCTGAGTGGGGTTCTCTCTGAGAGCTCCTCCCCAAACCTCCATTTGAGGAGAGCACCTAGGCCAGCCATCTCTTCATTCCCTGCTTGGCTACATTCCTTTGTGCCTCTCCGTCATGCCTTTGTGCCAGGCACCTTTACCCACTTCTTTCAGTTTCCTTTTCTGTATTGTTTCCCCCCATTACATTTTTAAGCTCCTTGAGAGCAGGAACAGTCTTTCTTTCTTTCTTTCTTTCTTTCTTTCTTTCTTTCTTTCTTTCTTTCTTTCTTTCTTTCTTTCTTTCTTTCTTTCTTTCTTTCTTTCTTTTTCTGTCTGTCTGTCTTTCTCTCTCTCTCTCTCTCTCTCTCTCTCTCTCTCTCTCTCTCTCTCTTTTTTTCTTTCTTTCTGTCTTAAATTTGAATCACTAGCACTTAGCATAGTGCTTGGCAAAAGTGCTTAGCAAATGTTTATGAACTGATTGGATGTGTTGACCTAGCAAGTTAATAATGGGATAGATTGATTACATAAATTGTGAGGGGGTGTCTTCTTTCAGTATTGTGTCATATTAAATAGAATCGAGACAGCCTTGTAGCACCAGAAATATTACTGCTTAGTAGTCTTCTTAGTACTGTGCAGAATAACCCACTGGTTATTACATGTGAACATCTTGCTCTGAGTTTCATTTGATTTGGTTACTGATGAATACATGCAAGCATTTTTTTGGAAGAAAAATTCTATGTCTTAAATGTCAGCACTCTTCTGGTGTTGTTAAATGGTTGCAGATCATAGAATACCATAATCTCCAAGGAATCAAAATTTCAGATCACTCAAAGGGCAAAGGAAGAATATACAGGAGGAATAAATAGGTGGTTGAATATTAACAATGGTAAATAGCTTGCATGATTGAACAGAATTTTTAATTCCAGGTTGAGAAATTTCAACTACATAAAGTGTTGGAGAGTTCTTGAAGATTTTTATTTGTAGGAAATCACAGGGATGAGGGAAGAGTCTGGAGGCAAGGAAACCAGTTAGGATACTACTGCAATATTTTGTGCTTGAGGTGATAAGTAACTAAACTCTGGTATTGGCAGTGGAAATAGAAAGGATGGATGAGACAACACTGCAAAAGTACTATCCAAAAACCATTATCTTTTTTTGGCAGTGGTTCAGGAAATGAAGAAGCTATTAACAGGGCCAGATTCATGAACACACAAGAAAGATCTAATTTTGACTTTGAGGCTGAATCTGTATTGCCTTGGTTAAATTACTTATAATTTCTCTGGCTTTCAGTTTCCTGATAGGCAAAAAAAGGAGTAGCAATATTAGTCCTCATTCTAGGGGCACTGAGGAGGAAAAAAACAATGAAAGTGATTATAAAAGCATCCTTTACCATGTAAGAGCTGAAGGATAATATATGAAATTAAAATCAAGAAAACTCATTAATCAATGGTTGCCACTACCACAATTTTAAAGCCTGTTTCACAAGAGAAGATGAAGATGGTTGGGGGATGGGAGAGAGAAGAAAAGAACATAACATTGTAGGAAGAAGTAATAATGAGAGTAAAGTTGCAAAAGTTAAAAAAGCAGAAGGCATGAATTGGAAATAATAAATCACTCAGTTTCCCTAAAGCAAAGAATTCATGTTAAAGAATAGTATGTGATATGGTTGGGATGAGAGAGAAGGACCAGATTATAGAGGTTTCCGGCTCTACCCCTTACTTGGACAAGTCACTTTCTCATTTCGAGCCTCAGTTCATCATAAAATGAGGGGGTTGAATTGAATGATCTCTAACCTTTCATTCTGTATATTTTTAGTCTATTTGACTTATTTGATTAAGTTTTTGTGTAAAAAAGGGGTCAGAGAGCTATTTTATATGTTAACATAATGTTAATGTCAACTGCCATATTTTGATAAAAGAAATCTAGAAACTACCTCAACCAGCAAACATATGATCTCTTGCTAAGCAGACAGATTGCCCACCAAAGTTAGAAACGATTTAGAATATAAACTCATTTCTAATAAAAAAAAACTTTAAGAAGATATAGGAAGATCAAAAGTAATATCTCCTCAGAAAACATTAAGAAATGGTGAAGAGAAAAATAG